CCATAAGGCAATGGGTCTCAGATGTGGAACAAGATCCAGCGCTTTACAAGTAGGCTGTGGGGGGTCTAAACCACTTCATGAAACAATAAGGAGAGGCTCTAATACATCAGGGATTTTAATATTTTTGTAAGCCCACTTCAAACCTAAACAGGCTCATGTGATAAATTGTGGGTGTCCTGAGCCAAACTTCCAATACAGAACTTCATTTCACTGTCAGCATGCAGCCATAAAAGACTTTGGCTCGCCATGAAAGGTCGCACAATGATCCTGCTGGAATGGTGATGACTTGAAGTCCTCTCGTTTTCTTATACGCCCCATACTCTTTCCCAGTGTTGTGGTTTGTACAGAAGCCCAAACCATCAAAGAGTATGAACTGTCTCTCCCGCTGACAGTATGGAAGAAAAACAGTGCACAGTCAATGACTAGATTTACTTTTTCCTTAAAGTACAACTCCTACTGACAGTTTAAATACCGAAGTACCAAATCAAGTTACTATGTGATGCACAAGCCTCATAAATGAAACAAAAAAGCTTTCTTTACCTTTTCTGATTAACCGCTTCCACGCCGCCCTATAGCAGAAATACTGCCACAGAGCGGCACGAGTGCGCAAAATCACGTATATATTGATGATTTTGCAGTTGCGGGTAGGGGGTGTGCACGCCCTACCCACGCCACCTCGGCTGTCAATCACCGGTTCCCGCCGGTGATCGCTAAGTATCTCCAATGGGGGAGAGACCTTGTATAAAAAACACAGATCTTTCCCCCAGCAGACCTATTCAAAGCAGGAGGCTTACAGTGAAACCCAGCATAGAGCCTCATATTAAAACAGCACACAGTTAACCCTTTGATCACCCCACATGTTAACCCCTTCCTGCCCAGTGCCATTAGTACCGTGTCAGTGCTTTTTATTAGCACTGATCACTGTATTGGTGTCACTGGGAATGTCAGCGACACCAAGTCAGTTCCCCCCATTGTGTCAGAATGCCCGCTGTGGTCCAGCTGTAAGTCACTGATCACCGCCATTACTAGTGGTGTCACTGGGAATGTCAGCGACACCAAGTCAGTTCCCCCCAGTGTCAGAATGCCCGCTGTGGTCCAGCTGTAAGTCACTGATCGCCGCCATTACTAGTAAAACAAATTCCAGTATATATACCGCCATTTGTAAACGCTATAACTTTCAGGTAAAGCAATACATTTCCAGGTAATGGGATTTTGTTTAGCAAAGACATGAAGCAGAATATATTTTGGCCTAAATTTATGACAAAATTAGATTTTTTACATTTTTTTACAGGACATGTTTAATAGCAAAAAGTCAAAAATATTGCTTTTTTTCTCAAAATGTCGGTCTTTTTTTTTATAGCTCATCAAATAAAAAACGCACAGGCGATCAAATACCACGAAAAAAATAGCTATATTTGTGGGAAAAAAGGGACGTAAATGTAATTTGGGTGCAGCGTTGCATGACCGCGCAATTGTCAGTTAAAGTAATGCACAGCCGTATCGCAAAAAATGGCCTGGTCAGGAAGGGGGGGGGGGGGGGGTAAATCCTCAGGAGGGCACCTCAGAACCGGTGTAATTAATATGTGTTCGGTTTTAAAGGGATGAGGTGACAACCCTAGCAGAGGCGGACTGACAACTCATGGGCCCCCGGGCAACAGGGGATCATGGGGTCCCTGTGTCCTTGCCCACACTCAAAAAAGCCTATAAAAAAGGTACCAGGGGCATTTTATGGGGCCCCCCCTACTGACCCTGGGCCCTCGGGCAGTGCCCGAGTGCTCGAATGGTCAGTCCTTCCCTTAACCCTAGTCATATAGGGCTTAGTATCATGGATAACCACCATCAGCCTTCTCCTTCTTGGGTCAGCTGCACTCTTTCCTTTTAAATGTCTCACACTACATGTGGTGAGAGATGGAGGGAGACTACCATAGAGTGAAATCGGTAAAACCTTTTATTTATAATAAACCATTTCCACAATGCCCACTCCCATTGTGAGGTGCATACCCTTGCACCAGGATAAAAATGCATGTTACATCATCAGCATAGGGATAACATGGATCTGGCTCTAGACTCTCTCACCGCCACCTTTTCCTGTATTAACCACTTCCGGTGTCGCTGTGTGGGATGACGTCCCTTCCTGCTACACCCCGACGTGGCGTTTCATCATCCTGACGTTCTCAAGAGGCCTATACCAGACAGGGTATATATATATATATGGGCTGATACGATTAGTATAGCACTTGGTACAGCAGCTGTGGTGAATTAAGGGACCACATCCAAAGCGCTGGTTCACATTATTTAACCTCCCTGGCGGTATTCCCGAGTGTAGCTCGGGGTAAAGTTTCAGCACCACAAGCGGTAACCCCGAGCTACACTCGGGCTTACCATGCGGTGCTGCTCCAGGGGTCTCATCATTACTTACCTTGTCCTGCGCTCCAGCGATGTCCCTCCTGCAGTGTCCCCTGTAATGTCCTCCGGCCGATGCCTGCACCCGTCTTCTGGGTTCCATTCTCTGCAACGTCAGGATGTATGGGGGACGGAACTGGCGGGAAATTTAAAAGTGTGATAAAGTGACATTCACTAAATACACTAAAATCACATAGTATAACATTACTGTATCAAACCATTTCACATACATTTTGTCCCGAGTGCTTTGTCCTGTGCCCTGCCTGCATTTTTACTGTTCTTTCTGCCTGGAAACTGAGAAATGTCCATGGCGTCCAAAAAGCGTCCCTTTAGGTCAAAAGCGGTTTTAAACCAGCTAGAGAACAGCGATAGTAAATCAGAACCACTTGCAGAATTGAGTGATAATGATTGGTGGGGAAACTCGTCATCAGACACTGAAAACGATTTTGCGACTTTGCTCAGTGATGTGCGAACTTGGCGCTCTATTTCAAATTTCAGTGTTTTTGGTTTGATTATATTATTGAATTAAATTTATTATTATTATATTATTATTTTTTTTTATCACTATTTATTAAATTATAATTTATGATTTCGTGTTTCAAATTTTAACATACCCGGGATGTTTACTAGACTCTTGTTCGGACAGATTTCAGTGAGTTATTCCTAAAAATTACAGGCCTACAATAAAAGAAATATGGACATAATCAGACCGCTAGGGAGGTTAAACCAAATTTCTATTAATGTCTCAAATGCTCCCCCTTCCAGACACTGCAGCTCACAGGCAGTGCTGTCAGTCCGGAAAGCAGTGGGAAGGACTAGGTGCTGCCAGCTCATGATTGACAAGCTACAGACTTGTGTACCAACAGAGACGATGAGATAGCCATGCCCCCTGCAACATTTTTTTCATCCCACTGTAGTAGAAGCATGCGCAACCTACGTGAGCATGACAATGCTGCACTGAATTCATGATCAACAGGTACAGTCAGGAGTGGACTGACAACTCATGGGGCCCCCAGGCAATAGGGGATCATGGGGCCCCTGTGTCCTTGCCCAAACTCAAAAATGCCTATGAAAAAGGTACCAGGGGCATCTCATGGGGCCCTCTACTGACCCCGGGCCCTCGGGCAGTGCCAGAGTTTCCAAATGGTCAGTCCGCCCCTGGGTACAGTACTTGTGGTACTTTGTAGGGGAATAGGTCTCCATGCACACGGGACGTTTTGATAACGCTGGTAACGTTAGCTGTGTAAGGTCACGTTAAAAACGTGAGTTTTTTTAGCTTTTGTTTTGCGTTTTTGCACTAGAGTTTAGCGGCATGTTGGCGAGATTAGCGACGTTTTCCCCGTGTTTGCGCTTTTTAACAAAAAGCCTCAATTTTTTGGTCAAAAAAAGTCCAAGAGCGACGGTCTGCGACGGTTTACAGTGGCTCACCGCGTTTTTTCAGCGTTAGAGCTCTAGAAGCCCACTAGTGCTGGGTTTTTTTTTCCAGCCAAAAAAATGTCCCAGCCATAAAACATTGATTCAAGTCTATGTGTGTATGGACACATAGGATAACATGCTGGGGGGTTTACTAGCAGTAGAAAAAAAATATCAAAAGCTATAAACAGCCGCTGTACAAATGTCCCGTACGCATGAGGACCACGAGTAAACTGAAGGTGCAGATATACTGTAAAATAAGTACTGCAATACATATTTACTTCATTGGGCAGCCATCATTCGATTTTAGGCTGCTGCTTAGGGAGAATGTCTTAGATAGATATTTTCATCATCTTAATTATGTGTATGACTTGAATAAAATGTTATATAAATGTTATATATATATATATATATATATATATACAGTAATTCCTAGACTGAGGTGCTGGTTTAGAGGTGACACAATCCTAATACAGTATGTGTGCATCTCTTGCCTATGCCTACAAATGTCTGTCACAGATCAGCCCCAACTGCAACCTCTTACCTTTCTAGAAAGTTGCAATATTACAATCTGTTCACTGAGGGAGAGGGGACTGAGGAAATACTTACTCCTACCTGCAGCAGGCTGATTGCATTATGCTGGAGCCAGGGGCGGACTGACCATTTGGAAACTCGGGCACTGCCCGAGGCCCGGGGTCAGTAGGGGGCCCCATGAGCTGCCCCTGGTACCTTTTTCATAGGATTTTTTGAGTTTGAGCAAGGACACAGGGGCCCCATGATCCGCTATTGCCGGGGGCCCCATGAGTTGTCAGTCCGCTCCTGGCTGTAGCCCATGGAAAGCTTTATATTGATAAACAATGGCTTGAGCATACAGCGGGAGGACCTGATCGGATCATCATTTTTTTTTTAAATAATCTATTGCCCTCAATACAGCGGCGGATGTAAATTGACATGTGTTGGTTTACATCCGCCTCCATCCAATCTGCTAAAAACAGAGGGACGGGGATCCGTTCCCCATCCGTTTAGCCGCGCACAGGTGTCAAGCTGGTGGCCCTTCAGATGTTGCCAAACTACAAATCCCATGAGGCATTGCAACACTGACAGTTACAAGCAGCGGCGGACTGACCATTTGGAAACTCGGGCACTGCGGGTCAGTAGGGGTCCCCATGAAATGACCCTGGTACCTTTTTCATAGGCTTTTTTGAGTTTGGGCAAGGACACAGGGGCCCCATGATCCCCTATTGCCCGGGGGCCCCATGAGTTGTCAGTCCACCCCTGGTTACAAGCATGACTCCCAAAGGTAGAGGCATGATGGAACTTGTAGTTTCGCAACAGCTGGAGGGCTGCCAGTTTGACACCCTAGCGGATTGGATGACAGTTGGATGTAAACAGACAGGTAGTCCATTTACATCTGACCGCCCATAGAGGACAGCGGGCTGTGTCCATGTCAGCTCTGTATAAGAAGAATGCACATGGACCTGTCATCTGCCTGCTCAGTGGGAATCAGAGGACGGATCCCTTGCTGAGCAGGCAGAGTTTGCCCTTGGGGCCTAACTGTTATATATGGATTGGTTCTTTTGACCAAACTTTTTTCAGTGTGTAATTTTGTGTTCTTCCCTTTGTATATGAATTGAAATGCTCATAAAAGAGACTGCAAAGAGAAAAAAAAAATCCCTGTATTAGATCAGTCAACCCTAAGCTAATATTTGAATTATGAGATATGCTGGTAATTTAAACCCTCTGAATCAGTCTTGGTGACTCCAGAAGCATGGTATGTACAGAGATCTTGGATCTGCCTCCCATGCAATCCACATCATCTAAGATAAGTGAGGAACCCAACAGTCAGGCTCAGAGGCTCTTGGCCAGCCTTTCTCAACCAGGGTGCCCAGGCACCCTGGGGTGCCTTAAGCTTTCTTCAGGGGTGCCTTGGCAAAATGTCTAAAAAAAAAAACCAATTTGAATACAATCAGTGGGTGAACAAAGCAGTCTTTTAGTTACACAAAGCCACAGGTTTTCATTGTGTACTATTCGCAACCTATCTAGCCAACGATTAAAAAAAAAGAAAAAAAAAGGGGTATATTATAAACAAAAGAGTAAAAAAAAACAAATTTTTTTAAAAAAAAAAAAAAAAAAAATTATATTTAAAAACAAAAAAAAAAAAAAAAAAAAATTGCCCAAAATTTGTATACAAGCCAGTGGGTGGAACAAGCCTGTCTTTTAGTTACACAAAGCCACAGGTTTTCATTGTGTACTATTACAACCTTCTAGCCAACGGCATCCTGACAACCAATGACATCATCAGTTGATAAGGAGGATGTCAGCTGCCTGCACAGCATCCTAGTTTGATCCTCCCGTGCCCCTCTCCATCAGTGCTGGGGTCACATTAGCTCAGGGAGGGAGAAGAGAAACATTGGAATACTAGTCAGTACCAGCGTGCAAAAGTGTATTTGCTTTGGAAGAATAAATCACCTCTAATGTTGGGTGTCCTATATGTGTGGATGTTGCTGTGTTATATAAAACTATTAGAATAGTTTTTCACATTTTAGAATGGGGTGCCTCAAGAATGTCCATAATTTTAAAGGGTGCCTCAAGACTGTCCATAATTTTAAAGGGTGCCTCAGGACTGTCCATAATTTTAAAGGGTGCCTCAGGACTGTCCATAATTTTAAAGGGTGCCTCAGGACTGTCCATAATTTTAAAGGGTGCCTTGACTGAAAAAAGGTTGAGAAACACTGCTCTTGGCTACCAAAGTTGGGTGGTGCTGAGAACACATTATATGGTCCCCAGACTCTCCAGTGAGGAACAAACACCCACCAGAGGATTCAGCTAAAATATCACTTTTGGGTGGACTTATTATTATTTCAGGTACTTATATAGCGCCATCAATTTACGCAGTGCTTTACATATATATTGTACATTCACATCAGTCCCTAACTCTCAAGAGGCATACAATCCAAGGTCCCAAACTTACATTCATAGACATACTAGGTCCAATTTTAGACTGGATTCAATTAACCTACCAGCATGTCTTTGGAGTGTGGGAGAAAACCAGAATACCTGAAGGAAATCCACGCAGGCACACGGAGAACATGCAAACTCCAGGTAGGTGGTGCTGTGGTTGGGATTTGAACCAATGACCCTAGTGAATGTCAGGTGGAAGTGCTAACCGTTTAGCCACTGTGCTGCCCACTTATCCTTTAATTACCAGGTTCCAAATCTTTGACTACTTTTGTTTTATTTACTGAAGGAGGAAACAGATTGGGATCAAGCCATCATGCAAAAAAAAAAGGGGAGTGCATTTCTGTACTGCAGATAAATACTATGTTTCCATAATGTATTCGGAGCACACAAAGAACACTGTGGATGTGAAATTAAAATGATGTACATTTACATGGTCACAATGAGAGTTCCTTTAATCAGCTCAGCTGATAATTTTAAAATAAATTAGAAACTCATCGGGTTACGCAGGTTTTAAATGAAGAATTTGTTTTCACTAAAGCTTACATTTCTATGTCTAATCCGAAATAGGCTAGAGATCACACCGCAGCAGCGCGCGACTTATAAACTAATAGCGGCGCCAGTCACACGTGCTGTCCTGGGTGTCTGAGTGGATTCTCTGTCACTTAAAGTGAAACGGTTCTGCCAAAGTAGGGCAAAGTACCGGGCCTTCCTGATGAGTCCACCACCCTTCTGCTGATACCTACCTTACCCACGCTCACCTATTAGCCTTAAAGCAGTGTTAAACCCAAAAACAAACATGTATTATATTGCAGATTACCAATTCTTTGAAGTACTGGCTGCATTAGTTTTCTTTTTTAGACTTTCTTTCTTCTATTTTCATCTGGTGATCTGGCCAGTAATTCTGTTGTTTTTCATAAGAACAAGCTCTCTCTTACACTGACAGGGTTGCTTACAATGATTAGCTTTTATGTAATTACGCAAAAGGTAAAAAAACTGTTTGCTTTAGAGCAGAGCTCCACCCAAAAGGCAAAATTTTGCTTTAAGACCCTGCCCCCTGCTCCCCATTAAGGACTGGCACCTTTGGAGAGCGGGTACCTGTCAAAATCGCCTAGGTGATCGGAAGCAGAAGTGATCCTCTCCCCATTCCTTCCCGTAGTCTTCTGAGACAGAAGACTATGGGACCATTCACAAGGCACATCGCTACTAAGGCACATTTAAGGTGTAGGCACCCGGGGAGAGAGGACGGTAGAGAAATGCCCGTAGCGGATAAGAAAGAATGAAAATAGCGCAGGGCATGCATGACTAGGCCCCAGAGTGGTGAAGGGGAACGGAAAGGGTTAAAGTTAGCTCCAGGGGGTTGGGATTTGATTGTGGGGTTATCTGGTTGGCAGAGGTGGAGTGTAGGTGGGGTCTGCGGCACCTTAGGGTGGGAGGTTCTGTTGAGGGGGCGTCAGTGGAGCTGGACGTGAGGAAGGATCAGAGCTTCCCTCCCGCCCTCCCTGTTTTGTTGGGTATTGGGGGAAAGGAAAAAAAAAAGAAAAGGGGGTTATGTTGGTTCGCGGGTGGTTGTTGGTCTTTGGAGGCGGTTCTCATCTTGGAAGGTAAAACAATGGTGTGGGACCCATCGGTGGTATGGGGTGCCCGGTGGACATTCCCAGTTAACCAAGGTTTAACTGGAAGGTGGTGGTGCTGCACTGCGGACGGTATGGTTGTCTCCGAGCTGGTTGGTTGCGGCTGGAGGCCTAGTGTATATGGTTGTCCGCAGGAGCATTTCGGATCGTTTGGGGGTGCCTTCGAAGACCAACAACAATTCTTTGGTTTCCGTTATAAGGAACGGCTGATGTATTTAAAATGTGAGTTGTTAATAAAAGGCCATGTTGGCCATTTACTCCAAAATGGTGTCATGTTTTTTGTAAAGTATAATTGGTTAAGGGGTGGGGAGTGGTATGGATCGGTAATGGTGGAAGTGGACAAGCCTATCTATGGTGCAATAGTCATGAGCACATTGCTGGATCCTGGGACAGGTGGGTGTCTGTTTTTTAAAAGTCAGCAGCTACAGTTTTTAACATATACTTTTACATATATTTGTAAATGCATTCCAAAAATGTAGATTTCTATTTTTAAAGACATACATTATATTTGAAATTTATTTTTAAAAATATTTTTCATATATTTTTCATATATTTTGAAATATATTGAATTATGGGCAAAATTGGAGCATTTCAATTATATGTCAATATATTTGGGAAGAATATTTTAAAATATATTTCAAATATAGTTTTCTTCCATATGGGTTTTTCCACACAGTAAGCACAGTAGCAGTCCTCACCTAAAGAAAGCCCCCTCTACTGCACTTCACCAAGTAGGGTGTACTTGCAGAGGGGGTGGTCTTCAGGAGGGGACTGTAACTTTGGTTACTTTGTGGAATGAACTTTATTTTCTCTAATAGTCTTTATTATTACAATTACGAAGCAGGCAATGGCTAAAGCCTGGAAATGCCCTACCTTCAGGGATCAATCTGCTCTAGGTTGTTGGGCTCAAAACTGTGATGGTAAAGATTAGCAAGCTACCTTACGGGGAAGATGCACTAGGTAGAGCAGCCTGGGAATGGAGATCCTGTCCTGGAGAGTTGAACAAAACATGTTCTTTTTTTTTTTTAGCACAGGAGCATTGTAGCATCTGCTCCCAGGTCTGCTTCTTCCTTTCCTACTTTCTGAGCTCTGCTGTACAGGGAACATCATGAGGCTGATACAAAGTTCAAATAGACTAGTTGATTTTAAAAATCATCTCAAAGCTGAGCTTCTAGCAGATATAAATAACACAAATGATGTGTCCATATTATCATTAACACATCAAAAATCAGGGGCGTAACTACAGGGGTTGCAATTGTGACCCAGCCCTGTGCTCCAGGGGGCCCATGCGGCTCTCCTGTACACCTGAATAGAAATGGCAGCAGGGGCAGCATATAGAGGAACCTGCACCCTCCATTTTCTTCCTGCAGCTGCTGAAAGGCACATGGAAGGGATCAGTTCCTCTATATGCCATCCTTGCAACCCCTCCTAATCAGGTCCTGCTGCCCTCAGGATGGAGAACGGGGGAAGGGTCAGGTAAATATCTAATTTACCAGCCTCTTCCTTTTCTGAATGGAAACAGTAAGTGATCCGTACAGATCACTCACAGTATCCACTCATAACTGAAGCATAGTAAACTGTGTTTACTATGCTTCAGTTTCTGGATGAGCGGGAAGCTCTGTTCAGAGCTATTCCTGTCCATTCATTCTGTGCAGAGATGCAGAGATGGAGATTGCGGGCTGTGTCCAATCTCCTTTCTATGTCTAAAAGGTGAAACTCAGAGGACTGTTTAGACCCCTGATATCTCTAAAAGCCCCCCAAGGCTCCTAAAATAATTGTAAAAAATAGTACTAAATAAAATGGTAAAAAAATTTAAATAAAATGGTAAAAAAAATAATAAAAAAAATATATAACAAAAATCAAAACTGCTGACACCAGTGATAGAACTACCAGGGTTGCAAAGGTCTCACTTGTGACCGGGCCCTGGCAGTCCACCACCGTGGGGCAGGAGCATGTGAAAGGGTCCTAATGCAGAACTGTAATAAAGGGCCCTGCAATGGTAGTAAAGGGCCTCTGGATCAGTGGGAAGGGCCCTGGGCCCAGACGGAAGGGTCACAGCCAGGGGTCAGTGGTGCCCTCATGGCTTTTTGCACTGGGGCCCTGAAGGTTTTAGTTATGCCTCCAGTTAAATGTATTGTTATAAATGCAAGCGATTCAACTGAATTTGTCTTAGGATCAGCTTCTTGCTGTCCATATATAGCAGAGCTTGGATTGGGAGTGGGAGCTATAGTACAAAGAGCCAATCAGTTCATGCACTGAGAAGGAGCATGCTGATAGGAGTAGAGTGGAAGACAGATGAGCTCATCAATGTACTGCTTCCTCTTTACTATCATGCCACCGACAGTGGGGTGGATCCCTGACTGCAAGGATTAAATTATGCTGAGCATCATTCAACTTCAAGGACTGAGGACATCTGGTGGCACCTCCAGGCTAAAGGTGATTATTGCAGCAAAAACTTTCTATTTTATCGTTAAATGGTCTATTATTTTTGTGTTTTAATTTGCATTTTTTTTTAAATATTTGTTTTGATGTTTTGCTTTAGTGATTTTAATACCCAGCTACCTGAGTTGATGTTTTATATCTTACAGCAGTTCAGCTTTAATATATTATTCAGGAACAAGCTTTATATTGGTGAATATGTCCCTATATTGAATTAGTTGCAGTTTTCAAAGCATCTTGTGCTGTTTGAATTCCAAAATAACTGAACAAAATAGCTCCTAGACAGCTCTGAGATCTTAGAGTTCCTAGAAGATAGAATTTTGTCTATTCATGCTATAATGGACACTTGTGATCATGTGATCAGTAGCTGGTAGTGGCTGTGGACAGGGTTAGGTGACTAAAGCTAACTCACCCAGTTAACCTATTGTTCATTCGCCGGTGTCACTGTCCATCCTCATCCACAGCAGCTCTCTGTCACCAAAGCTTTATCGACACTTGATCATTTACATGGAGTTGACATTCTCCAAGTTTACTCAGGGGTCTGTAATTGTATTCTTTCTCCAGTTCTGCATTACCAACCGTGAAAATGGAATCCTATCATCCCTGACCAATTTTTAATGTACAAAATGATTTGGCCGAGGTTCAAAGCAAAGCACAATTGAAATCAGGTGAATGATACATGTATTTTTTTTTGTCTGGGTTAAAATTTGATTGTTTTTTTTTTTTTTCTTGTATGAATTTCAGACTAAGGCAGAGAGGTTTAAGCTCTGAGAATATAGAAAGATAGACTGTACCTTTGTGTTTATTATTGGAAAATGTAAAATTCTCATTTATTTAAAATAATCAGTGTATTTGTTTTAGAATTTCTAATAAAACCGAAAGTTTAATATAAAGGTATGTTCCAGTCAAGCATG